AAAAAAAAAAAAAAAAATCAAACAAGAAAAAAAAATTACATGAAGCAACAGCTAAAATGGTCATACTGCAATGGAAAGGGAAAAAAAAGATAATTATCCCCCAAGGACGAGGAAACTACGCCCTCCTCTGGCCTCTTGCAGCAGTCATCTTTGAGAGCACTTCCTTGAGATCATCATACCGGCTTTGGTGATACTCGATCCATATGCACAGCTGCCTTATGGCTTCCCTCTTCTCCTCCGCCAATCCTAGTAAGCCCTCATTTTTCTCTCCCACCGTCTTCTCCAAGTCCTCTACCGTCTTCTCAAGTTGCTTCACAGCTTTGATCAGACCCCCCTTCTCCACTTCCTCCCCTCTTGCAGTTGCCCTCAACTTCTCAACCTGCTCTCTGAACACCAACGCTTCTTCTTTCTTACCACGCAGTTGTTCGATTAGGTCCCCTACCTCCTCCTTCAACTTCACTCTTTCACCATTTGTTTCCGCAATCCAGTTCTTTGCAGTTTGAAGCTCCTTTGTTGTTCCTAGAATACACTTCTCATACTTTGCATAGTCATCCACAAATTTCTTGATCACAGATTCCAATACAGTCAAGGAACTGTTCACATTTTCTGAGATATGCGTGATGTTTCTTTGATAGGCTTCATTGTTTGCAGAAATTGTACCAGACAATGTAGCAATTCTGTCTTCTAGTGCTCTTTGTTCTTCCTGGAACTTTTGTTCTGCACGTCTGAAGCTCTCTTCCTTCTCAGTCAATAACTGCTCTGTAACACGGAGCTTCTGGTTTGACAACCGCAACTTAACTTCAATATTCCGGGAATTATCAACCAAAGAACTAAGCTCGTCCCCTTTTTCTTCAAGATCTCTTTTCAGGTCTTCAGCTGCTTGTTCCAAATCAGCTATTATCTGATCTTTGGATTCAACTTTTGTACTGAATTCTAGCACCATTTGCTCAATTTTCCTTTCTGCAGAGTCTCGATTGACCTTGCTGTCGTGAAACTGACTTTCAAGCTGTTTATATTCCTCATTTAACTTCTTGTACGAATCCTCCCGTTCATTCAGCAGTCTCTGATGATCGGTGATCTTGCTCGTTAACTCCGCTTTTTCATTTTCCAATAGCGTCAGGCTCTCTGAATGTTCTTGTTTCTCCTTCTCAAATTGCAACTCTATCTGCTTCTTCTGGGTCTGCAATGAATCCAAATCCTGCTGTAGACTGTTCACCTGTGACACAAAGGCTTCTATTTGAGCAGATGCATCGTTCACAGAACTTTCATGTTTCTCCTGGAGAGAAGAGAACTCGACCTCTATTTGCGATAGTTTCATCTCAAATTCAGAAATTTGATCCTTCAGCTCCACAATTTCTGCTCTGAACTGATCGTTCTCAAGGACTTTAGTTCTTATCTCCTCTTCAAGTTCACTTTTGTGGTTGTGTATCGAGTCCACCTTTATCTCAATGTCTCTCTTTTCTGCTGTCAAACTCTCTTTCTCTTCCACAATCCTCTGATGATCCGTTATCTTGTTTGTTATCTCCTCTTTCAGATTTTGTATCTGTATCAAGTACTCTGAAGTTTCTTGAGTTTTATTCTCAATCTGCACTTGCAATTCAGTTTTCTGGCTGAGTAGGGACTCCAATTCTTGCTGCAAGACATTTACTTGTTCCATTAAGCCCTTGACCTGAGTTGATGCTTCATCACCTTTACATACCATCTGTTCCTCCAATTCAACTTTCTGGGCACGCAAAGAATCTATGTCAGCTAGCAGATTACTGATCTGTGCTGCCAAATCTGCTATTCTAGATGATGATTCATTATTGCTGTCCTCAAGTTTCTTTGTGAGAGCAGAAAGTTCAGCTTCTCTCTCTTCTGATATCAATTCAAGCTCCAAAACTCGGGCATGTAGTCCTGCATTCTCCTCTCCCAGTTGTTTTGCTTCAGTTTCTTTGCTCTCAATCTCTACTTCCAAATCACTTTTCTGATGTCGCAAAGATTCCAGCTCCAGTTCCAGCCCCAAAACTTTCTCCTCCAATCCCTTTATTTGAGCCAATGTTTCATTCTCATGCAGCTTGTGCATCTCAGACAGAGTTAAATATTCCTTTTCCTTGAGACCCAGTTGCTCATTTAGTTGATTATATTCAGTATTGCTGTCCTCAAGTGTCTTTGTGAGAGCAGAAAGTTCAGCTTCTCTCTCTTCTAATGTCGATTCAAGTTTTGAAATTTGGGCTTGTAATCCTGCATTCTCTTCTTCTAGTTGTTTTACTTGAGTTTCTTTGTTCTCAAGTTTCTCCTTCAGCTGAATAGATTCACTATTGTTATCCTCAAGTTCTTTTGTTAGAGCAGACAGTTCAGCTGCTCTCTCATTTGATACTGATTCAAGTTCTGAAATTCGGACTTGTAGTCCTGCGTTTTCCTCTTCCAGTTGTTTAACTTCAGTTTCTTTGCTCTCAATCTTCACTTCCATGTCTCTTTTCTGAACTCGCAAAGATTCTAGTTCCAGTTCCAGCCCTGAAACTGTAGCCTGTAATCCCTTTATTTGAGCCGAGGTTTCGTTCCCATGCAGCTCATGCCTCTCAGACAGAGTTGAATATTCGTTTTCTTTGACACCCAGTTGCTCGTTTAGCTGACTACATTCAGTATTGCTGTCCTCAAGTTTCTTTGAGAGAGCAGAAAGTTCAGCTTCTCTCTCTTCTAATGTCAATTCAAGTTTTGAAATTTGGGCTTGTAATCCTGCATTCCCTTCTTCTAGTTGTTTTACTTGAGTTTCTTTGTTCTCAAGCTTCACTTCTATATCTCTTTTCTGACCTCGCAAAGATTCCAATTCCAGTTCCAGCCCTGTCACTTGGGCCTCCAATCCTTTTATTTGAGCCAATGTCTTATTCTCATACAGCTCATGCATCTCGGACAGCGTTGAATACTCCTTTTCTGTCTGACCCAACTTCTCCTTTAGCTGAATAGATTCACTATTGTTATCCTCAAGTTCTTTTGTTAGAGCAGACAGTTCAGCTGCTCTCTCATTTGATACTGATTCAAGTTCTGAAATTCGGACTTGTAGTCCTGCGTTTTCCTCTTCCAGTTGTTTAACTTCAGTTTCTTTGATCTCAATCTTCACTTCCATGTCTCTATTCTGACCTCGCAAAGATTCTAGTTCCAGTCCCAGCCCTGACACTGTAGCCTGTAATCCCTTTATTTGAGCCGAGGTTTCGTTCTCATGCAGCTCATGCCTCTCAGACAGAGTTGAATATTCCTTTTCCTTGAGACCCAGTTGCTCGTTTAGCTGACTACATTCAGTATTGCTGTCCTCAAGTTTCTTTGTGAGAGCAGAAAGTTCAGCTTCTCTCTCTTCTAATGTCGATTCAAGTTGTGAAATTTGGGCTTGTAATCCTGCATTCTCTTCTTCTAGTTGTTTTGCTTGAGTTTCTTTGTTCTCAAGCTTCACTTCTATATCTCTTTTCTGACCTCGCAAAGATTCCAACTCCAGTTCCAGCCCTGTCACTTGGGCCTCCAATCCGTTTATTTGAGCCAATGTCTTATTCTCATACAGCTCATGCATCTCGGACAGAGTTGAATACTCCTTTTCCGTCTGACCCAACTTCTCCTTCAGCTGAATAGATTCACTATTGTTATCCTCAAGTTCTTTTGTTAGAGCAGACAGTTCGGCTGCTCTCTCATTTGATGCTGATTCAAGTTCTGAAATTCGGACTTGTAGTCCTGCGTTTTCCTCTTCCAGTTGTTTAACTTCAGTTTCTTTGCTCTCAATCTTCACTTCCATGTCTCTTTTCTGACCTTGCAAAGATTCTAGTTCCAGTTCCAGCCCTGTCACTGTAGCCTGTAATCCCTTTATTTGAGCTGAGGTTTTGTTCTCATGCAGCTCATGCCTCTCAGACAGAGTTGAATATTCATTTTCTTTCTGACCCAATTTCTCCTTTAGTTGACTAGATTCAACCGTGAGTTCTTGTATCATGTTCTGCGCCTGCTGAATTTCATTTGACATCTCCGAATTTTTCAAGGTCTCTTCCTCCTTAGCTTTGCTTACATCTGACACCTGCTGTTCTGCAGATTCCAGCTGCTGCTTCAAATTGGAAACTTCCCCTTGAACGGATTCTAGTTCTTGCTCAAGGGTTACTTTTTCATCTTTCAGCCGATCAACCATGGTTCTTAACTCTGCTGTAATATTTTCTCCTTCCTCTATCCTTCTCAGAGCAGTCTCTTTCTCCTGAATCAAGTTATCTCTCTCTCTTTCCACATTTTCTACTCTTTGATTTAGTTCAGCTTCTATCTTTCCACCAGCTTCCAGTTTTTTATTTAGCTCATTATTCTCAGCCAAAAGTTGCGAATTTTCAACATCTAACCTTTCAGCTTCAGTCTTCAAGTCTCTGGCAATTTTTTCTGTTTCTTCTATCTTGGTCAAAGCCGCCTCGTGTTCTAAGTTTAAAGCTTCCTTCTCTTCACTTGTAGCTGTCAATTTCCTCTTCAGGTCAGCAACTTCTAGATGTGCTGATTCAAGTTCATGTTTGATCCCATCAGTTTTCTGAAAGTCACTTTTCAACAGTCCATTTTTACTGCTTTTGTCATTTGAAGAATACTCTGAATCTGAGTCTGAGCTTGATGAAGATGAGCTGTCCTTTTCTTGTTTGCCATGAGCTTTTTTCTTTAGCACTCCGGTTAGATGATCATATTGTGCATAGAGTGATTGGTACTCTTTGTGGAAATCCTCAATTAGCTCAACAAGAGGTTCCTTTTTGGAGTTCTCTACTGAGATGGCATCTTTTTCTTCAAGATCTTCATCTTTTAGAAGCTTCAATATTTTATTCACCTTGTCATCAATACCTGCAATCAAACAAAAAATTCTTTAATTTTCAATTTGTTCGATCATATGAGATGCAAGAGCCAAACATGTAATCATATTGAAGTTCATTTCAAAATTGCATTCAATAGTTCCTGTAATGTCATCATCTCAAAGCCTTAAGAAGAATTCTACAAGAAGGTTTTACCTATTTTAGTTCCTTTCAGCTCTTCATGCTTCTCTGAATTGATGTGACTTCCAAACAAGGACTTAATGGATTCACTCAAGCGGTGCTTTGTCATCACTTCAATTTCCAAACTTCCCTACCAGGTGTGATTTAAGATGGAGCAATATCCATCTCCAGCTCAAAGTCTGAAACACAAGAAAACGATCTCCTTTTGAATCATAGCAAAAGCATAAGCCTATTTTAATTTACAAATAATCCTAACTACCTCAAGACTATGTGATATAGCATGATGATGAAGGTCAGCTCCTAAGATGAAAATAGATAATGTATTTCAATGACTGAAAGATTACCGTAAAGGAAAAGGAATGCCGGACAATAAAAATTTAGGGCAGATACAGTTACAGGGCAAAACTTTATTGTGATAAATAAGCATTCAGCATCAGAGTTCAACAGAAAATTTACTCTCTACAAGAATGTCTTAAGGTGTGAACACTTTCCTTTATATGGGATTTTTTTTCCTTATGATGGGATTTTTCTTATATATATATATATATACAGTTATTCTCTTATCCGGATGTCCGCACGTTATTATCGTGCGGATCCTATTGTAAATAGGCAGGAAAACCGAGAGAGTTAGTACAAAATACACGGCGTCCGGACGATAATAACGTCCGGATGTCCGCATAAGAGAATTTCTGATATATATCAACATGTTCTAGCTTGAAACCTTCCCAGTTGTTTTTTTAACTACAACATGGAATCATGGATCTCTTAAGCATGAGAAAAAAATTAAAAACAAAAAACAAGGCTCTGCTTTTTTAAATGTATCATTGAATCCAAATTAGTAAAAGTCCAAAATCTGATGCCACGTCATATTTTTTAAAAGGGGAACCCCCCATAAGCCTGATTTGGGATCCAGAAAAGACAGCTATCATCATATACCCGAAAATATGAGCTGTTCTGTGTGTACGTACGCAAAATAAAATAAAAATGAGCTGTTCTTTTTGTTTATTTCCTTCCTAAAAAGAAACTTAAAAGGCAGACAATTTTTTTCAACAAATTCCAGAATATATTAAAGTAGCAAAAACCAAGATCAATACTTTTCTTATTCCGGTTCTTACCCTCGGACAACTAAAGAATTACACAATTACCGCTTTACCCTTCGACCCAGCTGACAGTCAAATACAGTAAGAAATTATTTACCTTATATTCTCTTTTACTTCTTCTTCAAGTCGTCGCCAGGAAGCTTCCTCAAGAATTGCCGACCTCAATCCTACCAACCACGCTGACAAAAAAAAGTAGATGAAAAATCTGAGTTATGAACAGAGTGAGTGAAAAACTGAACCAAACAGCTAAATATATGAATTCAATTTATGAAGAATTCTAGTCTGACAGAAAATGAAAAATCATTTCAATTGCGAACAGAGTTTATTTTGATCAGATTTCAGATTATCTTCAACAAGCTTAATCAAAAGATTAAAATCAAGCAACCGAGTAATCAGAGGATGAAGGAAATGAAAAATCAAGCATGCAGAATTCAGCTCTTGCGTAGAAGAAGATGGTTGATCTGATCAAGAACTTAAAGAAAAATTCTACTGTAAAAACAGTGGACTTCAATTCTGAGAAGAAAAGCAGTGCAAGAGTCAAAGATCATCACCTGAAAGTCAGAGACAATTCTCGAATCGTACGATCAAGCAGAGAGAGAAAAGTTCCAGTTCTCCGACGAGCGAGAGAGCGAGAGGGAGAGAGAGAGGGATGGAAATGAAATTCGAAAAAAATAGGAAAAATAGGAAAAAGAAAAAGAAAGCAAAAAAGAGGTTTTGTTTGGATTAGAAAACTCAAAGTGACTGGTACGCCATTTTGTAGCTTCAAATTTCAGAAGGTGGAATCTTTGGGAGCTTCTACTTCTGTATTTGCCCTCGGGGTTGGAGGAAATTTACGGCGATGACATTCTAGCTGGCATTTAACGCCATTGAATTTCTCGTCCGTGTTGCGGTCAAAGTCTCGGGAGTTGATATAATGATTGTGTCGTGAGAATAGTGTTAAATTATTGGGTACTTGATGACGCGTGAGCTCTTGCCACGTCAATCAGTTTCCCGCGCTCGTTTGGTAGTTGTTGTTTCTGTGGTCCCTCTCTCTCCCCATTTCGGCCTGGAGAGCATGTATGACGCAGTAATTGCAAGAAATGGAGGGATGAAGTGGGCTTACTGTGGTTTTGGACAATGATCCAGCTTTCAGTTAGGGATACCAACAACGTATGACGGGTTCGGGTTTGTTGTTCCCATTCTTATACTTAGCGGGTTAAATGGAATCTCATCGTAAATTACATTACACGCGTAATTGGTTTTGGGTGGAACTTCCACTTCCTTCATTCTTAACAACAACAAAAACTACATTATATGCGTTCAAGATCAGAGTTCAAACCTCATTCTCGTTTGGTCTAATAGGTATCTAGAAGAAAATTATACATTAACTATGCAATTTGTTGTATAACAACATAAAATTATGAAATAACACAATTCATTTCCAAAGAAAAACGTAAAGATAAATGAATTAACAGATTTGGGGGAAAGTTTTGGGTTGACGGAGGAAATTGTCATCCCTATAAATAATCCACTTCTAGAAAATTCGAGACAATTACAGCCCATATCTGCAATGGAGTTCAAGAGAGGATTGAAGACATTAAAAAATCTGCATTGCCTATAAAATTTAGTTAAAGTTTATAAAAAGAATGGGGTCCAATTATTTTTTTGCTTCAAAACGGTGATTTTGTTCTTCCAATCGTATTAACGTAGGCTGTCCTGATGTTGTTTAAGGTTCAAACGGAGATGGCATGACCCATGTACATTAAATTAAAGTCATTGCAAAATTGACAACAACATGCGACAAAACAAATTTGGGGAATAAATTGATATGATGGACAGTGATGTGGAGAAATAGTCTTTGAAGAGTTTACATAGGAAACTGACTCACTATTTGGACATGGTGCTTGTCCATTTGCTCAAGGTGATTCAATCCTGAACCCTTCCAATAACATATCCCCCACTACGTAATTTTACCAGAAAAATGAAAAGGAAAAGAGAAGTGAAACTTTGAGTGATCACATTATTGAAGTCATTTCGGACGAAAACTCGGAAAACTATATACACATTTGTTAATGATCATTTGGTCTAATGGAGTCCAATCTCCATTTTGTTGGAGGATGTGCTGAGTTCAAATCTCATGAACGACAGTTGTTAAATTCAAAAATGAGAAATTATGTATACATATATCCCATGAATTCAATGTAGATCATGAATAAGGAAAGCTTTTGCCACTCTTTTGGTGAGCTATTAGCCAATGCTAAGCAACACATCCACTTTCCTTGTGGGAAGGAATGAATAAATTGAATAAGGTTTATATATTAATGCTAAACAAACATATCATAACAATGGCCCTTGCCTTAGAGCCTAAGTAACTGCCCTGCTCCTAGCAGCAGCTGACCTCTTTGAGACTGCTTCCTTAAGATCATCGTAGCGGCTCTGGTGATGATCAATCAAGACACAGAGCTGCCTTATGGCTTCCCTCTTCTCCTCTCCAAGGATCAATAAGTCTTCATCCTTGTCCTTCAATTCCCTCTCCAGATTTCCCACCTGCTCCTCAAGTTGGCTCAAGCCTTTCGTCATGTTCAACTTCTCTTCAGCTTCCTTGCTTGCCGATACTTTTAACTCACAAACTTTGTCTCTTAACACACCCTCTTGTTCTTCTTTTTCATTCAGTTGTGTGGCCAAGCATTCTACATTGTGCCTTAATCGTTTGATCTCACGTGCTGTCCCTGTAACCCACATTTTCGCAGACTCAAGATCATTCGACATTTTGGAAATCTGGTTCAGAAAGTTCTTATGGCCCTCCTCAAACTTCAGTACCACCAAGTCCAGTCCTTGGAATGTGCCTTTTGCTGTTTCTGATATTTCCTTCATCTTTCTGGCCGGATCTTCATAAGTTGCAAGCTTTTCTTTAAGACCTCTAATTTCTGTCTCATACCAATCTTTCATCTTCTTGTAGCCTTCTTTATTCTCATTGTGTATTTGTTCTGCTACTCGGATTCTCTGGTACAAGAGGCGGACGTTATCTTCAATATTAATCCGGTACTTCTCTGCCAATTCTTCCATCTTCCTTTCTGCTACTTGTAGATTCAATTTGGACGACGGAAACCAAATTTTAGCTTGTTTATGATCCTTATTGAACTTCCTGATAGTATCTTCCTGTTCCTTAAGAATTCGCTGCTGTTCGGAAATCTTAACTGTCAAGTTATTGTTTTGATTTTCCATCTCAGTTAGTCTGTCCAAATATTTTCTGTTCTCTCTCTCAATCCGGGCTATCTTTCCTGTCAATTTACTGTTTTGATTTTCCATCTCACCCAGCCTTTCAAAATATTGTCTGCTCTCTTTCTCAATCTGCAAGTGCGACTGGCTTTTCTTAGTCTGCAAGGAATCCAATTCCTGTTTCAAATTGCTGACCTGTGTTGTTAAATCCGTAAGTTGAGTAGAAGATTCATTCTTTCCATCCTCGCATTCTCTATGAAGAGCATAAAACTCATCCCCTCTCTCATTCAGTGTTCTCTCCAACTCAAAAATTTTAGAAAGCAGACCCTCATTTTCCTGTCTCAACTTATTGTTCTCCTGGTTTCTATTTTTTATCTGCTTTTCCAAATTTTTCCTTTGGCTGCGTCGAGAGTCCATTTGCATTTCCAACTCCTTCATCCTCTCAAGAAGACATTGTCTATCATCCATCATTTTCATTTCAATTGTGTCCTTTCTATTTAGTTCCTCTTTCAGATTTTCTATCTGAAGCAAGTGTTTGGAAATTTCTTTGTTCTTCTTATCCAATTGTGCTTCTGATTCGGTTTTATGCTGGCGTAGGGACTTTAATTCCTTCTGCACACCATTGATCTGATCCCTTAAGCCCTTCACTTGAGCCAGTGATTCATTTTTTTTACTCACCATCTTTTGTTCCAGTTCACCTTTTTGCGAACGCAACGAATTAACTTCAACTTGCAGATTGCTGGCCTGTGCCATCAAGTCTGAAACTTTTGATGTTGAACTGTCCTCATTTTCCTTGAGTTTCTTCTGGAGATCAGATATTTCATCTTCTTTTCCTTTTAAACCTATCTCAAGTTCCAAAACCCGAGCATGCAGTCCAATATTTTTCTCTCCTAGCTGTTTAGCTTCAGCAGCCTTGCCTTCTTTCCATGCTTCCAAATCTCTTTTCTGACAGCACAAGGATTCCAACTCAATTTTAAAGCCAGTTAACTGGCCCTCTAACTCTTTCACCCGAGCTGATGATTCGTTCCCATGAGCCTCGTGCGCTTCAACAAGAGCTGAAAGTTCCCTTACTCTTTCGTCCATTTCATTCTTGAGATCTTTGTCAATATTACCTGCTTGTCTTATTTTTCTCAATGCTTCCATATATTCTGAATTTATAGCTTCCTTTTCTTCATTTCTAGAGACCAGTTTTTCCTTAAGATCAGCTACTTCTGAATTCTCAGTGTTAGCTTCATGCTTAATGCTGTCTGCCAACTTCTGATGCTCATTTTCCAATTTGGCATTGTTACCTTCAACGTCCTCTGAGGAATAATATTCAGAATCTGAGCTGGAGGGAGACAAGGCAAAACCTTTTCTCTCTTTTTTGCCACGAACAATTCTCCCTGACTCTCCTACTAGATGATCATACAAAGCATATAGTGACTGGTACTGTTGGTAGAAGTTCTCAATGAGTCCAACAAGTTCCGACTCGTTCTTTGAATCTTTTCGACTGTCTTCTTTCTTTCCTTGCTCTTCATTTTTTATAAGCTTGAAGATCCTTGTCACATTGTTTTCAATTTCTGCAGATAACATAAAATCTTCTAAATAAAAAAACTAACATCAACTGAAGTGCCAACAGAAAAGAATAATATATACCAACTCTCAAAATCAGGGAGGAAATTCAAATTTAAGCACATGAATCAGACAGTGATCTTTTTCCACTATGACACGAATCATTGTGCGAAAATGGTAACAATATAAGGGCAACAACCTATTAATTTATAATCCTACAATGGTTGTTGATAATGATAAAAGCCAATGCAGTACTGGAATTTTCAGAAAAACTGGTGCCATATATTTTGAATTCGAGATACTGAATCTGCCTGCAAGACCACATCGACTCATAGTCGATGACCAAGTTCAGAAATACTAATGAGTCATTGATCTTTTCGACACGGTTGCAGAAGCTTTCTTGGTTTGGTTCTATATTATAGCACAGCAGAAACAGGAACTTGATACTATATTATACATTTGCAACGCAAAAAAGCTTTACAAGTCCCCAAGAAAATAAACAAGTTTGTGGTTTTGGAAGTAGATCATTGAAATGCATTCTGTTTTGAGATTCATACATCTAATTTTTTTACCACCATTTTATTCAAAGATCAAGGTTGATAGGAGAGAAGTTGCACCTGATTTAGTCCTCTTCAATTGTTCCGTTTTTTCAGGATCAACATGATTCCCAAAGGACTTAGCTAGCTCCCTCCAGCGATGCTTTATCATATCTATTTTGGATATTTCAGTAAATACTCATAAATTAGCACACACAAGCACAAGGCACTATACATTCTGAGCACAGCATATTGAAGACCTGAAAAACAAACCAGAAAAAAAAAATTTAGTTTCAATCCAAATTAAGCTTCTGCTATAACGTCCTTTGTTCCCCTCTACACAACTTCCCTCTTTTTGAATAATACAAAATAAAATCTCATTAAATAAAAAGGGCTGTTTAAGGCTTTAGTCAAGTTGGTTAGAGAAGATGTGCTCCCCACTCTGCATCCGA